AGCTTTTTGTTCTTGTAATTAGGAGCAAGGATGTTTGATAATCCGCGAGAAAGAGAGAAAATTCGCCGCGTCATCGACGCCGCCAGCTCATTGCCAGCGCATTATGCGCGCGGACGAATTTACAGGGTGTTTTGGCGACCGATATAACGAGCGAAGTGTAGCGTACTACTTCAGCAAATGTCAGCGAGCGTCAAATGTCGACTAGGTCAATGTAATTACCAAGAAATGTGTGCAACGCTAGAGATTGATTAACTGAACGCGAGCCAAATGCACGGTCCAAGCAAGTACCCGAAATTTCGACCGAAGCAACTTACAATAAGTGATGAATAAAGTGATGATATGATGTCGTTATGAGTTGTACGTTCTACCTGGATTATTTTCGCATTGTTTTTCCTCGTCTAAACTCCCCTCAGAGAACGCGAGCCCCGGCGCGGCACAACTGGAGAAATTTTGCACGTCAAGGAAGTCAAGAGGAAAGCGCAGCATCCGGAACATCAATTATTTAGAGGGACCATTATCGAACGCGCATTTGCATTTGCATTTGAATCCAATGGTGGGATGGTTTTACGGAGAATCAATGAGAATGCAATTAATCTTGCACGTTAAAAATTCTCCATGTCTTCTATAAGTGTCTTGTATCACGACGTCAAAAGCGAAGAAAACACGAAATTACGATTGGAGTTGTTTCAACAAATCTTGATTGTTATTAGTTATTACGAAATTTATTCACACTTTTATTTGGAAAGTAAATACGACTGAAGATGGATAGAAAGGGCTTGATCAGATTCAAAGGTGGTTTTTAACTCATTTCCTTAATTTCGTAGTGAGACAAATTTAAAAATACACATGTAAAGATGCATCACACCCACCGTTACTTATATCATTACACCTAATGACTTCCCGGGTTCCCGAAATCATTCCAGTCGTATATGAATGAAATTACTCTCGTCTCTCGACGGGGGTCGCATTTCGGGATGGTGGAATAATAAATTCGAGCGGGGAGAGCGACGAATCTCGTCGCGCGTGCATGACTTCCAATCGGGGCCCCGGGGCTTTTAATCAATCGAATCGATACGCACACGATACGTTTACCGCGACGCGGCAATTCGATCAAGCAAATCGCTCGTGGAATTACGCCCGGGCTACGTCGTGCCCTAAATCATCGAAGGAAAGGGGGGTGAGCGCCCCCGTTGTATAAATCATCCGCGTAACCGGAATACGCGCGCGCGTATCCGAAAGAATCTATTAGAAGATAATCGCGGACCCCACATCTTCGCGGGCATCGCCCGACGAGATATATTTTGATTTGTCACAGTAGGCGATACGCGCGTTTATGTGAGCACGCACTATTGACGATTGGACGCGTTACGCCTGCGACACGTAAGGGTGGATCTTGACGGACGTGAGAGCACAAATATAGAAACTTTTATGCACCCCGCGTATGTCCTCCGGATTGGAATTGTCGGGGACGTTAGACTGCTCCGGGAAATCTAACATCTGAGTTATGCATAAATCTAATCGAGTAAACAATCGCTTGAAAGAATCGCTGTAGGATTTATTAGACGCGTTATTTTTGCTGCAAAAATGTATATAGGTGTGAGAGCGTGTTATATATTAGTGTAATAATATAATTAAAGAAACAGCTTACATTAAGGAAAAACAAAACGCGTGTATTTTCTTTATATTTGTGAATTTTTATTTTATTCTATTCCGCTTTGCAATCAAATCTGCTTTTGGTCAATTAAAAAGAAATGTACAATTTTCCCGAAGTGTTTCTTATCCAAAGGTACAATTCTTAAATGACAATTTGGTTCGAAATGAGGGTAAAGTGTTTGTCCAAGCGCGTGAACGTACATCTGCGTTTCGCAGCTGTTAAAGAGAAATCGTTTCTTTTTATATTAGCTATGGGATTGTTTGCAGAGATTTTTTTGTACCCCGACATCGCAGGGAATCTCGCGCTATTAGTTTTACGCCGCGGACTCGATGTGTGTTTGCATAGTAAAGTGCCGCTAATTTTTCTATAAACTGTTATGCCAAGGGAGAAACCCGCTCTCCGCACCTTCTATTCTCGCCTCGTAAATCCATTTCGTTACAATGGTGGCCATTATCGTACGCAAACATAACTCTTCCCTCTCAGAAAGAAGTTACATTGTTTCTCTTGTATTATATTTAGTATGCAACAAAATTACTAACTATTACTTTATTTTCATTATTTATTAGCTCCCTTTCGCCGATGTAAAATTTGTATCAGAATTTAAGAACTAATATTATAAAATATATTTTAATATAGGTATGTAGTCTATGTCTGAACTAGATTCAACGACTTTTTTTTTGTCTAAAATTTTGACATGAATTTTAGTCGAAAGTGATCTTAATAGACAATAATAATTGTATTTAACATGCATAAAAAGCTTACATATATCAAAATACATTAAAATGTATGACATAAAATTATAAATAGAATTCTAACGCGAACTATTGTCTAAAGTCCATTTTAGAAAGATTTTTTACTCGGGATGTCATTATCAAAACATAGTATTACATTTTATAACGACATTTAAAAAATCGCGTGTATTGAAATTGAAATGATGGTCTATCTTTTCGAATCATCCAGTCCTATTTTACAGTCAAATTCTTTTCGAAAGAGCGATTTTTACGCGAGTACTTATTACCACGACAAAATAATTTTAATCATCCGACTTTCCTTATGGAAAAAGCTACTGTATATTGCGAAGAAAGCACACAAAACTATAGCAATTATTATAATATTTACTATATAGTTTCCTGTACTTTTCTCTACTACAGTATAGTCTTTCTGTAATATTTTTCCGTAAGGGTTGGATCGTCGTGGACGAACGAAATAAAACACTTTGGACATTCTTTGAAGATGTAATTTTTGCGGCGGCAACTGCGCAGCAGAAATAACAATAATATTCGAAGACACGGGATCTTAGTCGATCGCCTCGTAGAATCGCGTCCATTAATTCGCAAACGCATCGAGGCGCCCCGGGCAATTTTAATAATTCACCACGGCCATCGTATAACGCGGTCGGCCGTTTTACGCCGGTCGTAAAGCACTTTACAACTCGGTTCAATAAAAAAACAAATTCAACAATTCCACCGTCGGGATCAATAACGGATAGAAGCCGATTGGATCGGGCTTCGCCAATCGGGATAAACCGCGGTAACCGGGGGATGGATTTCGCGGATTCTGCGCCATCGCCACGGCGATCCCATTGGTCCCGTTGCGACCGAGGGGGTTGTAACGTTTTATCAGGATGAAACTTTACAGATATGGACGCTCCTCCGAGTAGCGGGGACGACATTGCGCCAAACGAAGAAAAAAGATAAAGACGCGGACTTCGTGTCGCGTTCTTTTTGCCAATGTATATTGCTGTGGACGTACACACAATGGAGCTTTCCCGGAACATCGAGAAAATTCTGGTCACGTACTTTTTTTAAAAATTGATATATAGGTTACGAAAAAAAGTCACTCCAAGTCGACAGCAGAAGCGATACCGTGAACATTTATTCAATGGCGCGTTTTGAATGCGTCTCTATTCGTCGAGAAATGCAAGAAGCAGAAAATGGGAACATTTGCGTAAGCGGTAAGAGTATATAAAGTGCGAAATAGGGTCAAGTGGAAAAGCGAAATAAAAGAGAGATAAACGTGTCGTTTTTTTTTTGTTAAGTAAAACATAGAATTATTTGCTAGAGAAATATTATCTTAAATGCATATCATCTTTATTAATAACGTATCACTTCATTTTAATTTAATTTTTTTTAAATTTAATCTAATTCAATTAAATGCTTGTATTTATCGTTTTTGGACACGCGTAATTTTGGTTGATAAATTAATGATATGCAAAAAAGATAAAAATTATTTTATAAATCATAATTTAGCATAATTATTATATTTATTATTTAATATATACGTAATTTGTGTAATAAGATAACACAATATTTATTCGCCGATAATTATATAAATCACTAGCGGACACCGCTAATGAAGAAAATTTCGGAAAAAATTATTTAGTTTAATATTTCTTTTACGATTAATATCAAGCTTAGCTTTCACCAGAATCAGCGACGAGGACGTGGTGAAACATCTGATCCTGCTTCAATGTTCAATGCATTTTTTTTTAGATATGAAACAGCAAAGTTGATTATTTTTTATTTGAAAGGAAGTTTTGATTTCAAAAGGATCCGCTAGTGCATACGATTATTTTTAATATGCAAACATATATCTATGAATTTATCCATCACTATACATTATGTACCTATATTAATTTGTGACGCGTTTTGTAATTCACAAAACTATCATAAAACATACTTTAATAAAACAAAATACTTTTCTTTTAAATATTCTTTCACGTTTATTCCCATTTATTAAACAAAAATTCCAGGAATTGCAATTTCTAGAATTTCACAATTTATTTGAAAATGTCGAGAAGAAATCTAAATTTTCAAAAATTGATAAAATATTAAGAAAATATAATCGATAAGGAAGTTATACTATCTAAAATTCTAAGAATTTTCTTAAATTTCCAAGAATTTTTTGCATTTCTGAGAATTATGTTCTCGTAAATCGATAAAGTATCAGAAGAATATAATATGCAAGAAGGTTGCACTAAAATTACAAGAATTTTTCAAATTTCTAAAAATTGAAAAGTTCGGGACTTAAAATCACAAAAATCGATAAAGTATTAGAATATAATCAAAGAGGTACTACTAAAATTCCAAGAATTTTTCAAATTTCCGAGAACCAACTATTCTGAGAATTCGGGACTTAAAATCGCGAAGAAATTACGAAAATTAACAAAGTATTCACTCGCAAATCTTTATTTATTAATTCCTCATTAGTTACTGTAAATATTGTAAAACAGTACTTTTCTATCCAATTTAAGGTGCTCTACCTTCAAGAAGTGCGATATTTAATACCAGACACTCCATAGATATAATTGTAAAACAAGAAATAGAGGATAATAAATAAAGGTATATTTATAGTTTTATATTTATTTCTTTGAAAATTTCGAATCATAAGCACGACAAAGAATTAAAATTTCATTCTGTGTGGATACTGACTGCTTCGTAGTCCAAACATTGCCGACAGATACGTGAACAGCATCTTTTTATCTTTATGCTTCTTAATAGCATCGATCACCATTTTATCAATTAATTTCTGATCAGTCTTCCTCTGATCGCTCGGTTTGTATTCTTCCTTCTTTTTGCTGAAGATATCACCTTCCTCCTTCTTGGCACGCTTATCGCGTTTCCTCTTGAAGTAGTCATCATTGAGGTGTCCAGGCAATTTGATACCAGAGACACTCAATTTCGTGGAGGTGGCGATTACGTAATTTTGACTGACTCGCCTCAAAGGACATCCATTGATCAGGAATGGCCCTACAATAATTCGTTAACAATTATAAATTATAATCAAGTCTGGTGTTAATACGTTAATGGAGTATCTATTACAAGAGACGTAAAGTTCAGCAAGAAACATACCAGTAATCAAAAGCAAACCGCTCTTCAGTTGTTTCAGAAGAACTACTCTCTTTCCCTTATGAGGACCAGCCAACAGGATGCAGATTGTTCCCGGTCTTAGAGAAGGTCTCAGGTAACGACGATGTTCGTGGAAACACTTCTTCGAATGATGCACAGTTACGCGATCAGCGGTAGGATAGTTTGCGCGTCTCTTCTTCAAAAGGACGATACGCTTCTCTCCGTTCTTGTCACCGCCGATCTGCTTTTCGATGGTCAATGGCTTCTTCGGTTTAACCTACAATCACACATCTATCAATCCAAGTCCAATTTATATTTGACTTCTTGCGATAGAGTATCCTTGATCAATTTTTCACGATTATTTCAATAATTAATTGACTACAGTGCTCTATATTAAACAATTTTGAAAAAATGATCTAACACACACACACACACACATACTTTATGTATACCTTTAAATTGATAAGCGCTTACTTTTTTGGGAGTTTTCTTCTTAAGGAATTTGTAGATAGCCTTTTTGTGGTACATGCGAGTACGACTGAATCTATAGACACCATTGCCTAAGTCATAATTCCTCGGTTTTCCCCTGGCAGGCTTTCCTTTGGCCTTTGCACCTTCTTTCTTCGCACCTTCCTTGCCTGCAGCTGGTGGAGCTGCAGCTGGTGCAGCTGCAGCTGCAGCCTTTTTCTCTGGAGTCTGAGCCTTTGTGTCCACCATCTACGAAGACAAAGATCTCCTTAGGTTTTATTACTGAAGAAACGAACTCTACATACAATTTATTAAAATATATGCGGACACTAAATACAATCATTTCACACTTGTATACACAGTGACGCTTGCGACTTAGAGGTTATATCAGGTTATGATTTTCACGTTTCACGTGCAGAACGAAAATGTGCATTACAAAAAAAATTGGGCAGAATTTATCAAGTAGTAGAAATTACGATTGATCTCTACAAATCCAAGAAAAGTAACATTGCTATTTATTTATAATCTAAAAATATCACACACGAACGGTGCGTATGTACACTCGGCGAAAAAGTAAAATTAACTCTCGATACCGTGAAAATATTGCGTCGCCCGAACAGATCAGCCACAAATCATATAATATTCGTCCGTAAAATTCGATATATCTTTGTTATAATAGTCGGATTTCTCCGATTACATTAAATTATTTGTCATACCGCAATCTTACCGTAAAGCGAACGGCCGAAAGAACACGCGTCGACACTCGCCACTACATCTATCGGAAAAGACGTGAGTTGTGGTCGACATAAATATCGAATATCGATGTATTTCGAGATATATCAATTTGAATCGCATTTCAAATCGACGACAGAACCACGTGTCGCCCAGTTTCCCGCAAAATATAATCTTCGCAGTTAATTAAATTATTACGCACCGTAATATTACAATAAATCAAAGAAATGAATTAATTAGATTATGACCAGTTTGAAATTCCTAAATGCTAATAAAAACAATGTAACATTTAATTGATGAATTATTAATTAGGCGAAAGGTGTCAGGTTGAAAAAGTATATAGGAGAATAAAAATTCACATAACATTAACATTAATTAAATCCGTTTCTCTTTCCCTCTTTAATTTTTTTTGTCAGATATATATGTCTTCGTACGGCTACAATATACCGAATAAATTTTTACAAATGCGATGATGCGGGAAACAACGAACTTCGAAATCTTTCCATCTCGCTCCCGTACGCTATCGCAACTCTACTCATGCACCTTACACACGTAACATACATTTTAACTCGGAGATGTTTTATCGTGGCTTCAAAAAAACGCAGTCTCACTGCACACAATCATGTTTACACAAGATAGGACTGTAATGCACACAAACGTACGTTATTCGATTATACAATAGTCTCTGATGGAATGCTGAGTGACATTCAAAATCGTTATTATTACATAACGGTTATAAGACGCATCATGTGATAATTATCTCTTCCCGAGAAATAGATCAGTTCACAGTGGAACGCCGACCTCGACGAAAGAGAGTGACATTTCTTACGAACAAAGTAATTGTATATTCATGTACTAAATGCGTGATACAAAATATCGTATACAAAGATTTACATGGAAAGCCGCGTTACCGTTGCAACGAGATATTGATAATACAGCGATTGTAAATGAAAAAAAAATTCACAAAAACGATATGTGCGTAACGATAAGTATGCTTGCGATGATTGACAAGTAAAAAAAACTATATATTATATATATAACGGTACAAGAAAATAATCGTGAGACATCTTTAATAACTCTCAATAGGTCAACTAATCTGTAAGTAAACTTCAACTTAAATCATTCCTCCATTACTCCAAACTTCACGCGTGCGTCTTGTCGGTATACGACAATTGTAATATAGGATTGCACAGCGTAACAACACAATGCACCGTGATGGAGATGGCTGCCGATTTGGATATTTAAAAAGAGATTATTTAAAATGGGATCGAGTCACAATGCCGAGATGTCCTCGTGTCCTCGTGGGGGCGATATCCGGATGCTGTACAATTTCACATCTAGCGGACGAAGGATTTATTATACAAATGACGAGAGACACGCATACCTCGCGGATACGAATAACGAGTAATAAAAATATCGAATCGTAATGTAGACGAGAATGCATTGTATAAATTTCGCTGATGTGGACGATGCGTACATTAGTAGAGCTTCTTCATCTGTGCCTCCTTATTGTCTCTGTAAAATATAAAAAGAAGTAGCGTTACGTATCTTTCTTTTTGTACGCAAACGATTGCTCTATTACGTATAATTACCGATAAAGACTGTACACCAATAGTATTATCATCTGTACAGCGACGAACAGTAAGAATATGCTAGTTGTTAAACAATTAGGACAATCTACGTTTCCCGTGGTTTTAACATCCTTCTTCAACGTGTTAAGTCCGTCCCGCATCTCCGTCATAAATGACTGATAATCGTATCCCATTGGCTGCACCTGCGACATTTTTATTTATCGATGTCAGAAAAGTTTTGTGGAAACTGACTGTCGCTTTTAGATTACACACGAAATAATACAGACCTGTGCTGTCGGAGCGCGCGCTTGATTGCTAAGAATAGATTCAGTCTTGGAATGAACCTCTCCCACGAAGGTTTTAATTTCCCTAGCTGTGTTCAATATGACATTTTGATTATTCAACACAGCGTCGACTTCCTGCCGACGTATAGTGTCGATCAGTACAGGTTGTTGTCCTGGTTGACCCGCAACTTGTACACCTGATTATGCATTCAGATCAAATTAATCGATATACAATATTGTTTCGATATAAATTCCAATTCGAACGTAACGAGCGATTTACCTCCTTGCCCGACTTGGGATATTAAACTCAACGTTCTCTCTTGTCTTCCAACGATCTCGTCTAATTTCCTGTGAAGTTCGCGCAAAGCGTCAAACATTTGGCTCTGCCCGTTGAATATCTGTCGTAACTCCCTTTGACTCTCTGTTTCATAGAATGTTTCATCGAATTCGTTCTTCTGACTTTCTGGATGCTCCCTGTCAGAATAACATATCGATATTGAGGCTCGTATATTGAAAAAGTACTGCGATATCGCATTGTATTTTCCTACCTGCGATATTCCTCTTTTTGTTCATCGAGCTTCTTTTGGTAGTCTAAGTATTCCTGATGGAGTTTGGCTTGTTCCTCTACAGAAACTTTATTCCCATCCATTGGTAGCTGTCCGGGAGGGTACAGAGAGGTAGTGAGGAAATATAAGACGTCATGGTCGTCAGCCAGGCCACCTGAGAATCAGAAATACATAAAAACGCACGGTACAAATTGTATAATTAAATTATTATGTCGAATTATACGTTGGAAAAAAGCAAGGAAAGGTTAATTATTTTGAATCTTATATACATCTTATATTACATAGTAGACTTGACTTATTCATGAAATTTTAGTTTGTATATCGCATCAATATTTTTTATATGCATACCAGTAGCAGCAGATATTCCAAAGTATCCGTTTTTCGGTAACACAACATTGTCAACTCGGAAGCAGATATCATAATCTTGCTCATTGTTCGTCATGCCATTGTGAAATAACAGCTTGAATGGAAAAGATCAATCAAACGAGATGTCGAGATAAAAATTATTAGATAATTCTCCGGTATACTCACAGTTAACGAATTCATGTAATACTCTATCCGCGCTCGCGTGGCAAAAGGTTTATTGCGGAAATCTCGCAAACAGCCCGCCAATTGCTGCGAAGAGCCGTCACTATTTCAGAATGGGATAAAACAACGAATTACATACTGTTTCGAATGTGCAAGTCACAGACAAGTTGTTAAATAATGTAATTTACCTTGTATGATCGAATTCCTTCGTGCCGTCATTGACAATGGCCATGATGTACGGATTATTGTGCTTATTGTCGTTATCAAACGAGTCGAAGAAGACTCCCAGACCCGTCCAAAGATCTGAACTACCGAAAACGGAGCCGTTGTAGGATCCCTTGCTGCTGGTGTACCAGAATGCCAAACCGTCCGCCCCTATTCTTCCACGTCCGCTTATCCGGAACACTAATTCTACCTCCCACCAGTCGAAAGTCGCCGGCTGTTTCACCCATATTGCACCTAAACGATATTGTAAAATTGTTATAAATCATTAACTTAATAATAATGCACATGACTCCTCTTGTAAAAATTACTTTCAAATTTCTTTCCAAAAAGCTTCAAATATCGACGTATTTTTATACATACACATATGTGATATCTATGTACAAACCTTTTTGACTTCTAAGTGATGGCGCTAGCCTGACATTTTCTGCACTAGCGATGGCATCTGCAATTTAAAACACAAGTGTAGGTTTTTAAAAGAAAATGAATAGATTATATTTGTCATATGTATAATATTTATATCAGATATATTGTATTTTTGAAACCATATGGAAAATAATATTAAGACTGCGACAGGAGCTAAGGGGTTTGTTTTCTATTGCTACACTAGTTTGAGAAGTGTATGTATACACTAGGCCTGTTTGTTTTAGCTGAACTTCTTGCACATTCTCTTCAACATGAAAAGGAAAAGAGGAAAAATGAACCGTGCAAAAAATTCAGCTAAAACAAGCAGGCTTTAAGACTTTGACAGGAGACTTTAATTAAACATATGTTTAATTAAAGTCAACGTAATACAGCAATGTTAAGCATCGCTATTAAGTATTTCTTTAGGACATTATCATCCGATATTTCTTCATACAAAAGAGAAATCTTTTTTCGTGCTTTAATAATACTTCTTTATCATTTTCGTTAAGTACTTATAGCTTACTCTCCAATTTTCATTATCAAGTCCAACTAAACTGTTATTGAGAAAATAATCACTGTCGCATTAACGGCGATTCTCGGAAGTCTAATTACAACGTATCGGTTGCAGGATCGTCGCAATTCCACGACTGGGAAATCGACATTCGTTAACTTCGCGTCTCCGCGGCGTGCGGCGAGAAACGTGTACGTACACACGTCATCAGTGTTTTGATCGCTCTCGAGATAGCGCGGTGCAGCGGGAAATTATGTAGCCGCGTCGGCGGGGTGAAGAACGAGACGGGGCACGCCGGGGGACGCGCAAGAACCGCGGGCCCTCTCCAGATCAGCGTCGCCGGGGTAACATACGGAAGGCGGCCGCGGAGGAGCGACGTCGGCGCGACAGGTGTCGCGGTTTAGGTTATACACGGCCCCCACCTTCTGCACCCGTGTATACTCACTTCCGCCGTATTCCCAGAACGGTACGCTGCCGTCCTTCTGCGCGAGGTACGGTGGCTTGAACGAGTACTTGTACTCGAATTTCCGATGCGGCGCCTCGCCGTGGCACGACGACACGCCGCACGACACGAGAAATACGAGCAGCCACCTCACCTCGGCGGCCATCTTCATTTCGACTGACTGAAGTGACTGACGGACCGTCGCACCGTCGGCCGCGGTCAGGCCGGTCAGCGCAGTGTCAGCACGCCGCGAAGTTGCCCGCGCGTCATAGGCGACCGGCCATTGGCCGGTGGCGCGTAATTTCGGCCGCGCGCAATTGGCCCACGGTCAGTGACGTGTCGCTTTCGTGGCCAGATTTCGGAATTCTCGAGTGGCATTAATTCTCTTGTGCATTCCCAAGATCTTGATTTTTTAATTAAATCCGTAAATTTCCGTAAATTTTTTACGAAAAATCTAGTTGATTGACTAATGTCTGTTTCTAGGTTTCTACCAATGTAGATTAACTTTAATCTCGGTTTAGCTTACTTTCGATCTTTTTCTAAGTTGCCCCCTAAGCCCTAAGGGCCAATTTCACCAACCACAGTTAGCTTAACCGACGGTTAAAGTTAGCAGGATTGACCAATAGAAAGCAGGGTGGAGTCATTTCTATTGGTCAATTCTGTTAACTTTAACCATCGGTTAAGCTAACTGTGGTTGGTGAAATTGGCCCTAAGAAATTGACCAATCACAGTCAATTATTCTCCTCAAATTCAACTGCGATTGAACAATTTCTTAAGGCGGGCTTAAAACACCTATTGTAGACGGGCACTAACTCTTAAAATAGAGAAAGATGAAGGGTAAATTAAACCGCGATTAAAGTTAACCTAGGCGTTGATAGAAATGGACATAAAAGCTATGCGATAGCCAATCAATTTACAACTTTTTTGCAAGAATGGAATTTGCACACACGTTTATCTACGAATGAATTCAAGAATTCAAGCACCTGAAAATCTATCACGCATACGCTGTAGATTTTCAGCGCATTTCAGGATGCACCTTTAAAGCCCTAGCTGAGTCTGTTCCTTTTAACGTCGCTCCGCGCATCGCGTATCTCTGAAAAAGCTACAATGAACTAAAACTGTAAGATTGATATATGCGAAGAAACTTTTGAAGAAACAAAATCTCCGCGTCTCGCGCGCTTGACTTGCAAATTATTTTTTGGGGGGAGGCGGAGGAATTAATACTAGCTGCCGGCTATTTGTAATAATTACAATAATTGCTGAATTAACTATTACGAGATACCGCCGCACCTATAAACTAACTATTTCCGGCCGATTCATTTTTTGTTAGTTTTCAGAGCAATTAATTTGCACGAGCGACCTGCTTGCGCAATCTCTAAAAAAAAAGAGCAGATCGGAGCAAGTTAATGAGTTTCATGACGATCTCGCGCAGAAAAACGTTCGTGTGGGGGAGGGGGAGAGCGTTTAGTAAGGTTTTTTCCCTCTCGGTTGCGATACCGCCTTGTCTTCTCCGGTCTCCTCGTGGATTTCAGTCGGGATCGCCGTCTGGCTCGCGCCGGTGGTCGATGGCACACGCGAGGTGTCCAAGATGGCGTCGCTCGTTGACAGCTACGAGCAACAGTACGCCGTTCTGACAGCTGACATCACCGCGAAAATCGCCCGGATAAGGCTCCAAAGCGGCGGTAAGAAAAAACGTCGACGGGATGGCAAAATCATACGAGGCGTCGCGCGGCCCGCGTGCGACGACCGGCGTCGCGACGCGCCGCGTAAGATCGGCGTCAAGACGCGATAATCGATATAAAAGTGACGTAATTTGCAGGTGAGAAAAGGGCCTTCGTCCAGGATGTCGACCGGCAGATCGAGGAGGCGCAGGAGCTGGTAATTGAATTCGCTTCCTTCTCAGTCCGCGGCCGGTTGAAGGTCAATAAGATCTCGATACGCCGAACCCGGTCGAATGGTCGATCGTGTGACGCGCGCACGGTTAAGAAAAATTACTCCGCATTTTGCGAACTGCGCGGCAGTTCTCTTCTCGTGAAGAAAATCGAGATGCGACGCGTTGTGGAATGTGCAGCGTTGCTCGCGATATCTGATGTAACTGCATCAAACTGCATCCAATTGATTGTCGAGAGACCGGTTTGCTTATCAGGAGTGTAAAGTTGTTGTGAATAAATTAAGCCTGAGATCAAATGCTTGGCATACACAGCATAGAATATTTCAACAGATTTTTTTAATACTTTGTAAAAACTTAATATTCAAGAATTTTTTAATAGTTTGTAAAAATTTAGTATTCTGAGCTCTTCGCATTTAGTCTTATAACGTGAATCTGATCAATTTGCAGTATATTTTTCCAATTTCAAAAAAATGTATGGACCAAATTTTATTTTTTATTTAATTTTAAATAAATCTCTGTAATTTATTTAAATTTTACCAAACATTCAAAGTTAAGTGCTGAAAAGTTCTGAAAAAATCAAATTGATTTCAATTAAAGCAATGAAAGTAGGATAACATTTAAAGTTTATAAATTTTGAAGCAAGAGATTGATAGAACCGGGAGCCATCGTGCCTGAAAATATATTTTCATCTGTTTGTCTTCGTTCGGGATGTTCCTTTATAAAATATTTTAATCGGAAGTTGTTTGTAACTTGCAGTTGGAGCAAATGGAGCTGGAGGTTCGTGGGATGAACGGGGCGGCACGCGATCGCCTACGCGGTCGCGTAGAGAGTCACAGAGCTGAATTGAAGCGCTTGACCCAGGAATTTCAAGCTGCGAAGAAACCGAAGGAGGATTTTACGGAGATCACGGTGGAGGAGCCTTGGGAGAATAACGTGACGGAAGATCAGAGGAAAAGACTGTTGGACGCCTCGGAAAAAATAGAACGATCAGGGCGAACTTTACAGAATGGTTATCGTATGGCTTTGGAGACGGAGGAGATCGGTTCTCAGGTGCTGAAAGAGCTCCACGAGCAGCGAGAAACGATACAACGAGGCAGAGGGAGAGTAAGTTATACGATCGTACATAGATCTACGCGAATTACGTTCGAGAACAAGAGAGAAAGACGGAAATCAATGTCATCCTTTGTTTCAGTTACGCGAAACGGATACGGAATTAGGACGAGGGTCTCGGTTATTATCGGGAATGATCTTTCGGAGCCTTCAACAGAGAATTATTTTGGCAGGAGTAGCGTTAGTACTGATAATCGTCGCGTGCTTTGTGATATACTATAGTTTTAAGAGTTAAAGAACAGACATTGTTGTTTTTTTTTCTTTGGCCAGATCCACCAGATGTGGTTTGGAAGTCGTATTTATTATCAGAGACTTCAAAATGTTATTTCTATCAAATTGCGAGGTAATTCTGTATTATATCGTCTATTCAATCTTTCGAGCTTGTTTGTCACATTTTGCCTCGGGACACGTTCTTCGATCTTTTGCTATACGTTTATTTTCCCATCAACTTGATCGGCCACTGGACTGAACCATGATCTCTTATACAAAGCCCATGTCTCAAGCGAGCAAGTAAAACTGGCAGAATGTCATCAAACAAGAACAAAAGGATCCCGTTTAATGTTATTATTATTATGTAAAGTCTTGTATAAAAAAATATTGACCCATTCCTCGTAAGGTAAATTTGAAAACGGTTTTACGATCCTCTTCCATTTGCGCATTAGAATTAATCAACTAAAACTGTATTGAAGCAGTGAACGATTATCAGATGCATTATTTTCAAGTACATCGGGTAGGATCGTAAAACCGTTTGAATATTGTTATCCGAGCGGCATCCCGGAATCTTGACCAGCGGTTAACACATTGCCCTGCGTTCAAGCTTCTAAAGATGTTTCGAACCACAAAATATATTCAACAAGAAATGTATTTATTAAGTAATATTCAAGGTTTTTGACGTTGCGCGCGCCGATGATCGGCGCGCATCGAAATATATTACCTCCTCAGGGTAATATTCGAGGAAATATTACCTGCTCGAGTAAACAACTACTTGCAATTAGTTTTAATTTTGACCTGAGCCATAATCGGGTGAGTTCACTGCGCTGGACTCTACCGGTTAAAAATGCATTCTATAATTCGTCTCTTACACGAGAACAACAACAGTCACTGTGTACATTATGAAGTATGCGTGGGTAAGGATCGAACTGTAAATACATCCGTAACCGAAAAAATATCAAAGGATGCATGTAATTGAGAGAAAGAGAGAAACTAGACGCGCCTAATAATAACTCCTTTTATTACTTGTTATGTTATCATTAACCTTTAATTAGCCTAAAACGGTGCTTTTTTTCCGTCTGTGACTCTAATGTACCTGTGAAAATGATAATATAATAAAAGTATCGAGAATTAACGAATATTCGATGGCAATAGTGACTTCGGTGAGAGAACGGCGGCGAGGAAAGGCGCTTTGCTTCCATCTCTACCATCGAACCATTTTCTTTACGTTCAGTGCTGGTGTGGACGAGCGATAGCACAGTCGCTCAGTCTGGTCAGTCCAGTTGTTGATAGAGATCCTCTATCTGTGGTTTGAAGTACGCTTTCAGTTGAGGCCGTTTCGATTTCAGCGTTGGTGTTAAGAGCCCATTTTGTACGGAGAACGGGTCTGGATGGAGATATATATCTTTCACCTGCGAGGAAAATAATCAAGTTTAAATTCTCAAGTTATCAGACTCTTTCATATTTAAGATTTTTTTTTGTTTTACTTCTCCCAAGAAGTAGATGAGTTCTTGGGAAGGGCAAACCTGAATTTTTAAGGTAAAAAGAAAGAGGATAGAAAAAAGAAAACAAGGAACGATAATGTACCTGTTCAAAGGATTTCAGACCGGCTTCTTTTCCCCACGCTAACATATCGTCCAAGATCAGTTTTTTTACTTCTGGATTGTTGCACAGAACGCTCAGTGTACCGGGTATGCCATTCTCCACCGCCCAGCACTTGATTACGTCTACGTCTGGTACTACTATTGCTATGATACAAGACTTCAATGATTCTCCATGGACGAATACTTGTTGCACGTATTGGCTGCGTATGTAAATGTTTTCGATCTTCTCCGGCACGATGTACTCTCCTTGTGACAACTTGAAGATATGCTTCTTCCGATCGATTATCTTTAACGTTCCATTCTAAAAGTAATTCAGTACATAAATATTTATAACATCAAACTTAATTATCTAATTTAATTAAAAAAAAAAATTAAAGAATTTTAGTTTTATCTGATTTCATATTTACCGTAAATGTAAAATGTACATATATCATTTACAAAGATCTAAACATCTATACATTGCCAATAATATATGGTTGTCATTAGATATAACCGCGATAAAAATATAATTTTGAAAATGCACTTACAGGCTGCCACATGCCAATATCTCCTGTGTGATGCCATCCCCGTTCGTCGATGACCTCAGCAGTTTTTTCCGGATCCTTGTAGTATCCCATAAAAACGTTAGTGCCCTTGACGCACACCTCACCCTGGTTGTTCACCGCGTAGTACTCCATCTCCGGAACGTCGACGAGCTTGACGCAACAGCAAGCTACCGGTGGTCCCACATGGTCCGGCACGTGATCGCCCTGCATTCAGGCCAGAAATTAGAAATCCGAAGAACAAATTAACACGAGAGATATAGTTCCTATAGTTCCTATTTTCAACAGGGAATATATAGATCAGCTAAACACGAATCTATTAATTGCCTTATGCATAAATAAACGCGTTACGCATGAAATATTTAGATTTAATTATAATGGACTGATAGAATACAATTATTTAATAGAATATAGTAATTAAAACGATCTTGTGAGTCGGCACACCACGTGCCCCTGGCACATGGCTCCAAAGCTTTGATTCGATGAGCTGACAGAAATATCTACGACTGCGGCGGCTTTTGCCGTCTATATATTTATGTCGATACTCGCGCCAAGAATAGAGAGAGCACGCGCATCACTTGATTATTAGTCAGCATTCAATAAAAACATTTTAATTCAATTTATCAGCGGTAAACACCTTCGTCGTTTTGGAAATAAGTATTTTTTTTTAATTTCATCTATTGATGAGCGAGAGGCAATATTTCTATTAGGTCTAATTAACATAGGCATGTCGAGGAAAAATAATAAATAGTTTAATTTTAGAGAGAGTATTGATTTGTGGAGCATATCGAAATTATAGTGTAGGAGGTACGCGGAATACCTTACTATGTAATTCCTTACAGGCTGTTAAGAACTTGCGCGTTTGGTTCACGAGCATAATGAAGGGCAAAGCGATATTAATTACTTGGAGATTTATGCTTGGCTAATTAGGGTGGCTACAGAGCAGCGTTTCTCAAACCGCGCGATGCCTCCAACGCCTTTCCAAGCCTCCACGAGTTCGTAATGAAAATAAAATTTAAAAAAAGCCGTGTCGTAAATTTATCTATCGGGTGAAGACAAGCTCTTCTCACAGCTAACGTCGATTGGCGAAAGCGCGATAAATACAAGATCCCGCGAAATGCGCTCTGAAATCAAAACGTTTGGAAATCGTCAGAATTATTTGATTTCAAACTACCGCAATCGGATTTATACATTCAACGCGGTGATATAACGGCCGATTTATGCGATTTATGCGATTTACGCGAGAATTATGAATTGTGTATGTTGACGAAAAATCCGATAACTGCGTAAATCGGTTAACGGATAAACGTCCCGAGAGGCGAGGACGCGTGAGGAATTTGCGAAATTTGAACGGTGATCTATGTACATTATGTTTGCGCCCGACGCTTCTGCATAATGCTGATTTTGTCGCAGTGCCAAACGCCGTTCGATAAAGTATACGGCTCTCGTTTTCTCGCGCGATACTCGAACCGTTCCCGGGTTTGTAACTCGTAAAATCAATAAGATTCTCCACAGTAAAGCGTTAAACTTTCCGTGTGGCGTTATGTAGCGCGTTATCGGCGTTATCCTGTTGTGCGGCCGGCGTTATTTTAGCGGCGATAGCGGTGCTTTGCAATATATAAATGAGAAAAGCAAATATGCCTCTACAGTGACCGCTGCATTATATATAACGGAGAAATCTTCAAGTTATTTCGAAGTTTGGACGCGATTTGCATGAGCCGTAGCGCTTTTAGCGCTCGTGCGCGGCGGTTTCATAAAAAATGTATTCGTCAGAGGCACCTATTGACCGCGGTTTGTATAACCATCGGTATCTTATGTACGATCGAAAGGTCTTTACAACATATCTACATTTCACGAATCTACATTTACGTATCATCCTTAAACATCGCTGCGTAGGCTGTTAACGGTCTTATAGACACACATCAATCAAAACGCTACCTTTTCTATTTTCTCTTTGAAGAATATAAAGGAGAAGACTCACAATTGTATCTCTGTTAAAAGGTTTCCTTTTAGATTCAGAGAGAAGATAAAAGATGATCAGATAAAAAGAACATAGAAGGACATAAAAAGAAACAGAATAAATAGAATAAATAAAAATAAATCAAAAGATGTGGAACTGAAATAACGTACATAATTTATGATAAAAATGAAACACGGAGAGGAGAGCGCGAGAAGTGTAGGATGAAAGGGCAATGCGGTATATATAGAGGTCCAAAGTACACAAAGATTCGATATCGCGACTCCATACTGTCTAATTAATCGACTCGAAAGCTTCGTAGAAACGACCATGGAATATTTACGACCCGGCCCGTAAAATCGCGAGCGCACTTCCGGCGATTGAATATACGAACCTGGATGGTAAGCGTTATCGGCGCGGTGCACTCCGTCTGGCCGTAGCCCTCGACCACGACGCAGCCAAGGGCGCACCTGGTGAACGTGAGGACGTTTCCCGCCAGCGGCGCGGAACCCACGAGCATCAGCCTCAGCTTGCCGCCCATCGACTCCTGGATCTTCTTGAACACGATCTTATCCCACATGCTGTTCATCCTCACGATGCTCTTCTTGATCTCCGTCTCTTTCGCCCGCATGCCCATGTTGAAGAGCATCCTCTTCAGGAACGAGCTCTGCAGCTCGGCCTGTACCTGCGAACGCCGAACCGGGTAAAAATCACCATCGGATGATCCGCGCGACGCTCCGCACTATCCGCCAGATGATAACAAGAGTAAAACGCAACGCAACGTGATATATACTCAAATATGTTCCAAAACATATTAATATAACTTCGAATATGTCAAAGATCATGTTCTGTTGGATATTTAACAGCTTCTATCTTGGTAGCTACTATCATACTGTTGCCTTCATTGAAATATGAATTTTTTATCTATGTTAATTAGTCATATTAATATTTCCTGTTGATTATAATATTTCCTCCAGATATTGTTACATTTTATTTCCCGTATATTTTTCCATTTTTGCAAACATAATGCTCTCTTCCGTACTACCATGCAAGCCATGCATCGTTGCATTTCGATATATTTAAACGCGCTATTTATAGAACATTTTTGTTATCATAAGCGGATTATCGTCAAACTGAAGAAAAGTCTGTTTGGACAGTTGCGGCCGAGTTCGATGTCACCTGTCAACAGGCGACCGGCGAACGACGATAAGTGGATTTACGCCGCGAATTCCCGGATTCGAAGTTGCAGTGGGGAGAGGAAACAGAGTCAAGTGGCAAATTATCCGCTTTTCCATTGTCTCCCGTCGAAGCGAAGCGACCGCGCTACGTGACGTTGTCTATCAAAACTTTATGTGCGAACTCAGCATGAGCGACAAGATGCTTCACGCTCCTCCGCCACACCTGTTACGCGCGTCATCGTGCACGTGCGCGCCGAGAACGCGTGACCGCTCCGGTTTGGCTTCGCCAACCGAAATCTCGGATGCTTTTTAAAGCTTAGGATATAACGGGGGCGCGTCTCGGCGAGAGATGCGCGAAAATGTAACTCGGCGA